ATTTATCGTCAATTTGGACATTTATGAGCACCTAATTTGTTGCGACATTTTTCGTTAATTTTTGGACATTTATCGTTAAAAGGAGTTTTGGACATTTATCGGCGATTGAGACATTTATCGTCAAATTTTGGACATTTATCGTCGTTTGGACATTTTTCGACGTTTGGACATATATCGGCGCTACACACGCCTACTTGTAACATTTTGTGTGATTTAAATACTAAATATCAGTGAATGATTTTAACGGTATATAGTATAACCGGCCGCGTGGCCTAATGGATAAGGCGTCTGACTTCGAATCAGAAGATTGCGAGTTCGAGTCTCGTCGTGGTCGTTTCTTTTATCTAAATATTTGTTGACTTAATCAGTGTGTTCATGTACATTTGTGTATTTCAATAACATTTCACACTTATATTATGTAAAAACATATTATTTTAGATCTATTAAATTATAGATATTTAGTAAAACTGTATTTCGGTGAGGATGGATTCGAACGCCCAATGAATTAGCAGTCCATATAGCCTTTACAACTCGGCCACCACGTCATACGCGCACACTAGTTGTACATTTACATCTCATTTATATAACATTTGTTAAGAACTATTAGTAAAGTAATGATAAAATTATTTTTAAAAAACACAATTAATATTAACTTAATAAAATAATAATGTTTTAATGAAGATTACCTAGGTACACATGTACATATACTAGTGTGTAGATTTAATATTTCACACATTTATTATGTTAAACTTTATAGGTAGTTTAATTAATTACTATTAAATAAAAACAAAATACACATGTACTTTTTCGACGAGGATGGGATTCGAACCCACGCGGGCAGAGCCCAATGGATTAGCAGTCCATCGCCTTAACCACTCGGCCACCTCGTCTGATAGTTATGAATTTATGAACTACATATAATTATTTCATCGCGTATTAATGTTTAAATGATTAAAGAGTGATTGAAAATGACAGAGTGTTCAATATTGTGCAATAAGGGAATTTATATAAATTGTTTAAAGAAATCTATAAATTGAAATTGCGTGTTATTTTTACTTTTATTGTATCCAAAAAAAAGTTTCCATGTATAACTCACATATACCTCTGTCCTGATGGAATATCATCCTGAAAGTGAATATTTCCAGTGAGATATTTCTTATATCACCCTTTAGCACTTGAATATCACCACCGTAATGATGTTCACCGGTATCACCCTGTCCCTAGGACACATAACGTACGTGTAATAAAATAGCTGCGCCCGGAGTGATATACCACGTAAAACAATGACAGATACCTGGTTTGACTTGAAAAAAAACTTTCCTATTGCAATTAATGAATACTAACTTAAATCTACCCACTTAACTTTTATCATAATTAATATCTGCATCAAAATTGTTTGACCTGTTAGAAATTCACAATAACGTTGATATAATGAATCATACAATTATTCGACTGGAATCATGTAATATAATTTATTCATAATCCATGAGTAGACTTCATTCTTAGTTTGAAACCATTTATTAATTTAGTTCTTTGTACGCTTTTATTGCATCTGCCGGCAAAAGACCCATGTAGTCTGAAGTATATCACGCGTGGCCAAAGGGTTTGAAGTGGCTTTGAATCAGAAAATTGCGAGTAAAAGTCTCGTAGGAAATCATTTTTAACGACATGGGTGTAAAAATGTAGATCTAATCATGTTTTTTTTTTTATAATTTCGTTGGCTCAATCATTTTTGGAATATTGAGTCTGCACAATTCTCAATGTGTCCAAGTTTGACTGCTTTATCAAATGTTTTAGAGTATTGGATACTTTGATAACGAGTTCTAGGCATTTACAGTAAAATGTCAACAGGCCTTTAACTTCAAATAATAAGATTTGGTCTCATTGCGGTAGTTTTCTTCACTATTCTTAATGACGCTTCGAGGAGTATTTTTACATTTGAGCCGCGTCACGACAAAACCAACATAGTGCGTTTGCGACCAGCATGGATCCAGATCAGCCTGCACATCCGCACAGTCTGATCAGGATCCATGCTGTTCGCTTACAAACCCTATAACAAGTAGAGAAACTGATAGCGAACAGCATGGATCCTGATCAGACTGCGCGAATGCGCAGGCTGGTCTGGATCCATGCTGGTCGCAAACCCATTACGTTGGTTTTGTCGTGACGCGGCTCAATTGTTGAAAGAGTGATGTTTGTCTATTATGAAGACAACTGAACGGTATAAACGATGTTTCACTTTTTGTCTATAAAAAGCGTTTTAAAACATTGGACAATATTCGTTGGAATTTCGCTGAATTGATTTCCTATTTTCAAAGACGGTAAAAATTTGACGTTGAAAATATTTCATGAATGTCATGTAATAAATCTAGCGGTTCAAAAGGCAGAAAACTTGCGTTTTATATTTTCAGGCAAGATAGTTTTTGTAAATATATGCGCTTGAACATATTCATCTGACAATAATGACGAAACAAGAATAAAGGATAGTTTCTGATAAGCCTTTACCAGCTGTATAGGGGCACACCAGCCTGGATATCTGTGTATTCTGACCACACTCTATAATTGGTAGGTAACTAGAGAATGGACTATTCCAAATTCAAAGCACGGTAAACCATTACAGAAATTTAGCCAATTCAAAAAAGGACAGTCAATAAAGTCTATTAATTTCCCTTGCTAACATTAAAAAGGTCAGCGCATAACAGAAACAATTTGAAAAAAAAAACCTTTATCTACTTGTGTCTGTCTTTGTATTTTATATATTACCACCTCTTGTGGACATTACAGACTTATTCATTATTACAGATATGTGTATATATACATGTATATATTTATAAGACATACACTAACTTTACAACACCTGAGTGTAATGTTCACAAGACTTCTTGTACCTGTTTTATACTCTCAGAAAACCCGGGCATCGTAGGTTTGGTCAGGGAGTCATGACCAAATTTCTTAACATAATGTAATAAGACACTTATGCCAGAAAGAGCCCAAAGGAGACTCAAAATAACTTGTAAATATTGCTTCATAATAAACCAAATACAAATACATATTACTGATCAAAATTATCTACATGCACCCATGGAATTACTAAAAATAACAAGACATAATATTATGTTTAATATATCAAACTTTAATGGAAACTTTGATTGTGTAGGATCACTAAAACAGCAGTTTAATAATTGCACTAGGTACCTACATACATCCCTTAATGCTACATTCATATATCCACATTTCTGAAACCATGTGCAAAAATAGGATAATATCATTTGGTATCAATTACCGGTAAAACAAGACTAAAAACAAGACTAAAAGCCGTTACAGTATTTAATACTACATGAACTTTCACTTTTCCCAAGAAACAATTTGCACTTCACAATGAAAACACATTTCATATTCAATATCTTCCCAACTGCAAGACTTAGTAAGTGACTTTGACCATGAACTTTAAATGACATGTGAAGTCCGTGTCTTGACCGGCTTTTAAAAAAAATGGAAATAACTGACAAGTAGCTCGTAAATCAATAACATTTTTCATCAGAAATACTAAATGCACATGAAAGGTGATTTAAATCATGTTAAGTATGATGTTACATTAAATTATAAACTATTATGTTGAAATATATGTAGCCAGAATAATCCCTGAAAAAGTTTACAAAAACGGAAATTATTTGGTAACCTATAATATGCGATCGAATCATAAAAGCCAAGTAAAACAAAACATACGATAATTCTTCATTTTTTAAACTAAATATAGTCACTAAAATCAAAATAAGTAATAAAGCATTTAACAATGACAATATCAATAAATACAAAAAAAACATAATTAAGAAAAATAAGTATTGGCAGTAAAAAAAGATAAATTAGCAAACCCAGTGAAATAATTACAGTATGAATCCTGACAATTAAACAATTAATCAATTCTTGAACAAAAATTAGTAAAGTGTTTTTTTGCTTTAGCGCATGGCAATAAAAGAAGAGGTCAACTAATAATTAAGTCAACAAATATAGTCAAGGCTGGAGCAAGTTACATTAAAAAAGTCAATAACATGAAATAAACAACTGTGTAAGCTTTTGCCATAGTAGTAAAATGGGCAAAATTTAGATACACGGTCTGTACAATGAAGTGGCCAATTGAAAGTAGTCAAATCTTTAGTCATTACCTTACACTGAGTTAAAAGTCATTTTCTTTGCCATGGAATTGACAAACGCAGTCCAAATATTCTTAACTTTGACCAATGTCAGTTACATCATATATATTATATATAAGTAGCTGTGTGGCCAAGTGATATCAGTCAGATTTGTAATGCTAATCAAAGACAAAGCATTAAATGCTTCACAGTACAATTTACAATAAATCATAGATAAAATAAAATGCTTTGAGCTAAAGAAAAATGCTTTAAGATAAAAAATGCTACAAAGGCAAACAATAACAAATCCAAATCCAGATTATTTTTTTTAAAAAGCGCACAAGAAAATGTTTTACAATAAGGTTTTCATTTCAGACAACTGAAATCATTACCCCTTAAATATAATGCTTGTAATAGAAAATGTACAGACTTTATCATTATTAAAAAATGTCCTCATATTTATGAAAATAGTATCAAATTTATTGTACATTACGAAATATATCCATGAAACAAAAAAGCTCCTGTTTCCACCCCGTTATAGTGAAAAAATTTTAATATTGACCTTGAAGGTAAAAGTTATTTAAAAGTTATCCCAATATTTCAATATGTTAAAATAATTCTCTGGTCCGAGTTATCTTTTATCCAGACTATGAAAGCTCTTGATTAAAGAATGAACACGATGTGGCCATGAATAAAGGCCTCTGCAGCGAGACAGAAACATGTACTGACAAAAATACGGGACAAAAGTAAAAAATGTTGCTATCTTGCAATATATCGGCATGATGACAACTTATTTTTTATATTTCTTTTTTTTTCACCAACATCTCATTATTTATATTAACAAAGACAAAAAACAACATCAGCAATGGTTAGCACAACTACAAAAAAACAACCTGATTTTTTTTTACAATTTAACAATAACCTTCATATTATTTATAAACAAACAATATTATCAAACAATAATAATTTTCATACATCAAAAAAAAAAAACGAACATGACGCCTACGACTTAAATGTTTCGTCATCTTCTAAATGTGAAGAATGAGCTAACAGTGTTATACGCCGAAGAAATAACACCGCTAGCCGTAAGCGTTGAATCGGACATATCTTGAGAAATGTAGCCCATTTGAATTGAAGATGATTCCTGTTGAATAGGAACCGGAATATTGTCTGGTACACGTTCCCATTCAGCATTGTCTGGTTCGTCATGACCGACCGGTAAATCATCATCGCTCTCTTCTGATTGGCCGTTCGAATCTTCCACTGAGTCCATCATGTCCTGTATCACATCAAATGATCCTATCCTGTTGTTTCAGATATAAAAAAAAACAGATTATTCTATTATTTAATCAGATATTATACTTGTATATTCTTTATCAGTTTTTCCTCTTTTTAAGTCCTCGAATAGGTAGATCTAGCAGTCATATTGTTTTTTATCTTCCTCTTTATTTGACTGTTTGTTGAAAAACTTCCAACTAAACCAGAACAATGAAGTCCTTCCACCTACAACCTCCAAACTTCACAGGGGCTTACACATTGATGAGCACTGCCTGCCAGACCCTCTTAGCAGTCACAAGGTCAAATATTCCCTAGAGGCCAGGTGTCAATTCAAACATGGTGCTTTTGTCATTTTTAGAGGAAATTTCAAACTATGTATTGACTTAATAGTGAACAGTCTAGACTATGATCATAAGGCATGGATGTGCCAGGTACTCTTGGTGTACACTGGTATTATGGGGAGATTCAGTTGCCATCAGCTATTTAAGTGTCACACTAGCTAAATAGCTTCCCAAATATCAGTGTAATACTTGTACTGTTTTATCTGAACAAGATTATTTTCTGTAGATAGATCATCTGTTGAATGATGTATCAATAGTTTATTGGTTATTATTTCTGTTGTCAATAGTTTATTAAATGAAACTTTAACCTAAAATCCATCAATATATTAAAACAAACAGTACTTTAAACACTGCCTGTTTGAGTTTATATTTATAAATTTCAATATATTTGAAAGTATATTTTTCATCTTAATTTTTAAGCCATAAAAGCAGAACAAATTTCGCTCAAATATGTAAATATGGGACTTTAATGGTTCTATCAAATGAATGAAGACTCAATATTATAAAATAACAAACCTTCCTAGCTGCTGGTGTCTTAAGAGCAGTAAAATATTATGTAAGGTGTGTTTAGGTTCTATATTGTCTGTGTCCACACCTTGAGAGAAGCACAGGTATAAAACATTCTTATTGAGCCGGGCCACAGCTGAATTGAACTGTTTCTCAGGCAAATCTTGTAGACAAAAATCACTGCAAGATACAAGAAAAATATTACTTGTTTGCTGTAGAATAAAACAAGAGGCTAAACTCAGACTACATTTCTAACCTGAGAAGATGTTCATAAGAAAAGTTTTTAAATGCCAAGGTCAATTTTGTCAAGAGAGCTTTCATTTATAGTTTTATACCGATATATTACAGGCTTATTACCAATGCTTTTTTCAAGTTTTCAAGCTCTGGGTCTTTCTATATGCAGAGATGGACACTGTTTAAAGTTCTTTTTTCAGTACCAAACTGACTTCAATGATGAGGCCTTTTCTATTCAGTTTAAAATTTTAAATGCACCTGAAACAAGTGATCCTAAAGATCAATTTCAACACTTGAGGTATGAATTATTTCACTCAAAAATGTTTGTTTGGACTTTTTACCCTCACAATTACACTAAAATAGACACAATGTCACTTAACATTTCTTAAATAGGAGAAGAAAAAAAAAATTCCTGCATTAACTTTGAATGTTTTTTTTATTTAAGGAAGAATAATTCATTATTTTTACCTGTAACACTGACGTTTAGGAAGACTAACATTCAGTATATGGGACACTACTGCCAACAACTGTGCTGTGTAACATAGTCCTGCTATAATACTATTCCCAGGGTTCTCTGGTGAACAACTCTCCGAATTCCCGTCTTCACGATTACGAGCAACTAAAATATTAATATAATAAGACATCTGAGATGCTGAGATGTATAATTTTCAAGCTGTAAAATTACATAAGGCTGAAATTTATGAGTTAATGTCAACAGTTAAAAAAAAAAAGTTCTGAAAATCATGAATTTAACATTAACATGATAAAATAGGACTTTTGTATGTATGAAAATCTGAGTTCATCAATTTTGTTGTTTTTTTTTTAAATTTTATTGAAAACAAGGCTTATTGGATACGGAAATTCTGAAATTATATTGAAAATTTTTTAACCCATGAAAATTACTTATCATAGATTTACAATACTAATTTTGTTTCATAACCTAAATTATGAAAAAGGGAAAGACTACTAATTTTGTCTCTCTCTGTCACTATTTAAATAATGATAAAACTAACTATATACAGATAGACAGATAATTGACATCCCCTCAGAAAGACATATTTCTTTTTCTTCTTCAGAAAAGGCAAACATGTGTTAAAGCATATTAGACGCCTATCAGTGGTAGAAAATAGCACATGAAATGAATTGTAATAAAGGTGGCGAAATTCAAATTCCATATAAATTGCTTAATCAATCTAACTGTAACACTGCTTTAGAACAAAAAAGCAAAAGATGGTTACGAGTTCTTTTTGGAAAAAGGATATAGGACATCAAAAAATAAAGGGCTTATGAAAAATAAAGATAATTGCATTTTCTTAATCTAATGAGCCTTTAAACTCTTCCAACCCAAAGTAATACAGGCCTCAAATTTAAAGATAATGATCACTCTATTCATATCCATCTGTCCCAATTATGTATAATTATAAAATCATCACACTTACCCATGAGGTTATATTGGGCGTATTCTCCATGAGAGGGCAAGGCAGGCTCAACTATTCTATACTGACTACTGGAGGTAATCCATCGACCCCTGACGTACGCCATCTGACTAGCTTCCTGTAGTTCCTTCCTATAATCATCACTAGCACCCATCGTCATACTGTCACTGTTAATATATAATGTAAATATTGTGATGAAAAAATAAAATGTGAATAATATAAAAATTAATTTAAGTAATGAAGCAAAATAATGTAAATGATGAAAAATACATATAGAAATAATGTATTAATATTATTGTCATGTGATATTCTTGTCCTTTGAATAAAAATCACTTTTTGCCTTTAATAGAATAGTTTGTGATACATATCCTTGAATGATCAAACTGAAGGAAAATATCTTATTGTGGGTATTAAATTTATCTTAAGAACTTTATCCTCAGATTATTTTCACTAATTTCCTGATGAATGTTTAACAGAAAACCATACAATTTATATATATTTGTATTCAAACCTTATTTTCAAACAGAAATTTGATAAATAGTTGAATCTCCTTTAAATTGTGTCTAAAAGGAACTTAAATGCATGATATGAGATGCAAAATAAGTCACATGATGCTGCTATTAACCATTTTCTATTTCCTTCTTTTACTTAGATTTAAAGCTACATGCCTCCAGATGAGCCAAAATATCTTAAGAAAACCAAACTTGAGAAAATTTTAAGAAAAGTAAAAATGATCTAAGATTCAAGTAATAATTTACATGTTTTTTCTATTATTTTACAGCCTTTATCACCATATTTCAACTCCATGACTAATGCAGTAAGGGCTATTTTGGCCTATATTAACCTGCCTTTGGTATTTTTTAACAGGGATTACAATGTATAAATGGCATTTGCAATGTGTATTTTACTTTCTTTGTTCACTTCCCGTTTGCCTTTTAAAATAAAATACAAAATTAGCATAGATCTGTCAGCATGCAGGTTTAAACAAATCTAAAATTGGTCTGTTAAGTTGTTGACCAGCAATTTTGCTGTTTTTGTGTCGTTTCTTTTTATAGCTTTATAATGTAAGGCGATGACAAAAATCTTTAATTTGCTGTCATTTCATACGCACATTACACTTGCCACAATCCATCACAAGCTTGCTTTAAAACACATTCTTATATGTGCTCAATATAACCCTTTATGAAATTACAGCTCATTTTAGATCCTATACCGACAATTTAAACAAAAATAAACGAGATCAACTTTTTGTATAACATTTCAACCAAAGAATATCATAATTTACCAAAATCCTTCAAACTTTCCTTTACCCTTTTTATGCAGAAAACAAGCGATAACATTATTCTAAGGCCTACCACCATGCTAAATAATATAAATCAACTTGTCCATCTTTCAATCTGAACAAAACAATTCATCGTTTTTAATGAAAGTTTTGAAATAAATACTAACTGAATAGTGAACAGTGCACACTATGATTGGCCACCATAGACATGGAAGCTGATCTTGGTCTGTACTGGTTACACGGGAAGATTCAGCTGTTTCTGGTAGGCAAAGAATTAATCATTTTTAACAACTTGTAAACTTACACTTTATTTTTCACTTCGGACACTGGGAATATGAAGGTAATGAGATCACTAATGTGTTTTTGCCTGAGCTCCATCAGTTCCTTGTGCCGTTCTTCTAACTTCTCTCTCTTCTTAACAATTGTATCAGACACTTTCTCGATATACTCTACGATTCTTTGCTTCTTCTCCTTATGTTTCTTCCCCTTCGCATAGCTCAATCGATTTTCTTTCCTCATTCGCTCAAATGCTAACTTTTCTATAACAAAAGAAATAGTGGTCCTTTAGTTTATATTAATCCAATTTTGTTGTGTTAGAAGCTATTAGGTTATTGAAACAGTATTGAATCCGTTCCTGGAACCAACCAGTACTTAGCTGTGAGTATAAAGTTTCTTGCTCACAGAAACAACAGCTTGCCCCTGACCGATTTGAAACCACAGGGCAAGCAGTCCTTAGATTACTAGTCGGACATTTTAACCACTCGGCCACACCTCCACTCCTGAGGTCCTTTCATTAGTGTTTGGTATATTTTAGGAAGAACAACAAAGCTTGATTACCTACACATGTACATAAACAAATCTAAAATAAATCAGAGTGACAAGCACACTTGAACAGCAACACATGCCCTGGTATAATTATAAAAAATAAGTATTTTGTATGGATGTCAAAAAACTACTTTGTTTACATTTTGCTACCTGAACGACACATTACTACATGTTCCATGCATAACTGTTTTCAGTTGTTTAACCCTTTCACTGCCATAGGGACGGCTTATGCCGTCCCTGATATTTTCGGCGTATTTGCCATATGGACGGCTTTAGCCGTTTCTATAATAATAATAGTAATAATAATAAATTAATAATAATAATAATAAAAATAATAATAAATATAAAGAAAATTATACCATCAACAATTATTATTATTATTATACTAACAGATTTGGAAACATATACAGTATAATTATTATAATACAAATAACAAATAATTATAATTATATTAAATAATAATATAGTAATTTCTTAGAAAATCCTCTGGCAAATAGGTGAACAATAAAACAATAACCCTCTGGCAGCGAAAGGGTTAACATCTAAAATGCTCTATATCCATCATTAAAACATTCTTGAACATATATTTGACCTATCTAAAGAATTAAAGATTACTGATTTCTGAAGCATAATGTGCCTTATAGAAGATAACAGTTTACTGAATGATAAGATGAAGCAGATATACAGGCCTGCCTGACTTTCTACTGGGGGCATGTGGTACAGGGAAGTCAGTCTGGCTTTCTAATGGAGCCATGTGGTAGAAAAAAGTCAGCCTAACTTTCTACTGGGGCCATGTGGTATAGGAAAGTCAGTCTGACTTTCTACTGGAGTCATGTGGTAAAAGGAAGCTTGTCTGACTTTCTATGGGAACCATGTGGTATGGGGAAGTCAGTCTGACTTTCTACTGGAACCATGTGATATAGGGAAGTCAGTCTGACTTTTTACTGGAGCCATGTGGTATAGGAAAGTCAGCCTGACTTTCTACTGGAGCCATGTGTTATACTATAGGGAAGACAGTCTGACTTTCTACTGGTGTCATGTGGTATAGTGAAGACAGTCTGATTTTCTTCAGGAGCCATGACTGTGGTAAAGGAATCAGTCTGACTTTCTACTGGAGCTATGTGGTAAAAGGAAGTTAGTCTGACTTTTTACTGGAGCCATATGGTATACTATAGGGAAGTCAGCCTGACTTTCTACTGGAGCCATGTGGTAAAAGGAAGTTAGTGTGACTTTTTACTGGAGCCATGTGGTAAAAGGAAGTTAGTCTGACTTTTTACTGGAGCCATGTGGTATACTATAGGGAAGTCAGTCTGACTTTCTACTGGAGCCATGTGGTAAAAGGAAGTTAGTCTGACTTTTTACTGGAGCCATGTGGTATATACTATAGGGAAGTCAGTCTGACTTTCTACTGGAGCCATGTGGTAAAAGGAAGTTAGTGTGACTTTTTACTGGAGCCATGTGGTATACTACAGGGAAGTCAGTCTGACTTTCTACTGGAGCCATGTGGTAAAAGGAAGTTAGTGTGACTTTTTACTGGAGCCATGTGGTATACTATAGGGAAGTCAATCTGACTTTCTACTGGTGTAATGTGGTATAGTGAAGACAGTCTGATTTTCCTCAGGAGTCATGTGGTTAAGGATAGTCAGCCAGACTTTCTACTGGAACCATGAGGTAAAGGGAAGTCAGCCTGGCTTACTGGAGCCATGTGGTACAAGGGAGTCAGCAATGACTTTCTACTGGAGCCATGTAGTAAAGGGAAGTCAGCCTGACTTTCTACTGGAGCTCTGTGCAGGTATAGGGAAGTCAGCCTTTCTACTGGAGCCATGTAGTATAGGGAAGTCAGTATTTCTACTGGAGTGGTGTGGTAACAGGGAGTCAGTCTGACTTTCTACTGGAGCGGTGTGGTAACAGGGAGTCAGTCTGACTTTCTACTGACGCAAAGTGGTATAGGGAAGTCAGTCTGACTTTTTACTGGAGCCATGTGGTATAGGGAAGTCAATATCACCATTGGCATTGAAAGAGTTTATATATATTCATTTATTGAGATGTTTTTATAAAAGCTATTCTACCTCTGTTCCTTATATCCTTGGTTGCTGCCAGTGAAAGTTTCAGCAGTTCTATATTACGTTTACACTGATCAATGGCCGCCCTCTGAAAATAAAAATGTTCATGTATAATATTTGAATATAGCAATCGATTTGCCAACTTATAAAAAAAATCTAATTTTTAAAAATCGCTCATGAATTTTCCCAACTTAAGCTAGGGATTTTACCCAAAGTAGCTGCAAAAAGCCCTGTTCCATGTACAGAAGTTGTGAGTCAAGTGTTACTAAAATATTCATGTCAGAATATTTACTGTTACTTTTCACAAACATAACTATAAAATATTAATAGTCTCCTTCAAAAAAAATCTTTGGAGTCACTGATGCTTCAAATATTCAGATTTTTTTTTACCTTCCTTGGAAATGTCATTTCACTACATCAGTGTGATTTAATGGGTTCAAATCAAAATAGCATAAAATTGCTCACAAATCCTATCATAAAATTTTAAAAAATTAAATAATTTCTACAACCAAATTATTAAAATTTTAGCAAATGTCTAACAAAAGAGTAAGCCCTGTTTCTACATATCCTAAGAGTGGCTTTATTATTTTTCAGAGAATAATCATATGATAGATTTTTAAAGTCACAATAAAAAAGGCAAACCTTCTCATCTTGCCTCTGAAGCCAGGCTGTTTCCCTTTTAAACCTGAAAAAATATAAATCTATGTTTATTGTACCCTATGAAGTAATAATGCTTTTCAGACAATGACTGTGTTTGTGAAACTTATTTGACAAATTTTTAACAATATTCAAGAACAATTACACTTTTTAATATATATCAGTTTATTTGTGTTATTATTATACCACAGATATATATTGCAATACAGAGCACTTTTACAGAAACTCATAAAATCACTTGTATATAATTATATTAAATAATAAATTAATGTTATTTATCTGCCAGGGATAAAAGAAAGTTATGGTTTTACATTCACTCACAGGACATTCCTAGACGCGACAGTTAACTGTTAGTTATATTTGTAGATCAACTGGACATAAAAAAAGTATCTTCATCTAGATCATAAAGACACCATCATTGAACAGATTAGAAATCAATACAATTAAATCTTTTGTCTCACTTTCTCAAGATAATTATAGTTACATTATGTAACAGCTAATACCTTTCAAACACAAGATCTCTGTCTCTCTTAGTCCTTTGCCATTTGCTGTGCAAAGATTCATAACTGCAAATAAAGTATAAATTTATATAAAATTAAAATATATTGCGAGAAACTTTATAACATCCGCAGCCTGTAATAAATGACAATTCTAAAGTTAATGACTAATAAATATTGACTGTTCAAGAGAAATGGTATGTAACTTAACAGGTGCACAGCTCAAGATTAACATATTGGCCAGGAAATTATGCCAAGTTCATCACACTAACATTTTGCTTGCCAATTTTGGCAAAGTTTGCAATCATAAACACTATTTGCTTAAGATTGGCATTGGTATCCATACCCATATCCATGATTACAGAGTAGTGGATTAAGGTCTCATTACTTGATTCAGAAGTAGAAAAGTAATTTGTGGTCTCTCTGTTTTCTTGTCTATCAGACGGGATTACCTACTGTTTATACCAGTGCTAAAAACCTGTCTTACACCCCAATAACATTGTAAGACCAGTCACGTTCTTTAACAGTTTAAATGACATTGTTTCCATTAAAGCTGTTTAAATTAAGGATGATGTCATTTTGACATTATGAAGTTATAAAGTAATAAGATAAAGTACGAAAGAAGTGCTAAATGAAAATATTAGTTTTCATAATTTCTGTTTGAAATAAAATTAACATGTAACATAATATGCAAGAAAAAGAATAAACCAGAGTAGCTCTCTATTGAGACTTTAAGTGGTAATGGGGAAAACATTGACTTACAATTTACAAATAACAAATATAACAGAATTCCTTTGTCAATAAATAGATCAAAGTCTGACTCACCTATCTGGATATGTTGCATTAGAATGAATGAATTTGCCACTGACTACACATTTTGTACAGTGAAATGGTCTTTTAGCCTCTGAGCATAGTGGGCACCTTTCAAAGGCAACTTGTAAGCCTTCTTTACTGACGATTAAACTCGCTGTGTTGAATTCTAAAGGAGCTGTATTGTCTAAACAGCTGATTTCTTCCATAACACAAAAATTACGTCATGTACATATTTGTTTACTTCCTGTTTCGAAATCATTTCCCAACAGATGGCGTTTCAATTTCCTGGTTCCACTTTCTTTAGGCGGTGTATGTCATGTGCACTATAAAGGCAGGGAGACGAAACGATGTAGACGAATCTTTACGTCAAAATAAAGAAAGCAAACAGAGGAAAAAGTTCCAGAAATAAATCATGTCAAGTTGTAACTCAGGTAGAATAACAAGGCCATCATTATTCCCATCTGCAGGAACAAGTTTTACCGACGAAGGTTCTTCTAAAAGTGAGAAATTATATATTTTCTTGTAATTTCATTAGTTTTCGCGATGTTTTTAAAAGTTAGGAAAACACTTTATTATAGCCATTTGTTATTTTAGGACATAAACTTCCAAAATAAACATTTTATTATACCATATTTATTTGTTTTAATTCGTACACATAAAATATGCAATTTGCAAGTGATACAAACTGAAAATCAAGTGCTGTGTTAACAGATCTAGTGCTGTGTTAACAGATCTAGAAGCACACCCTTTTATAGATAATAGAGCATGTCCTAGTTAGACAATCAAATTCTGGTGATTGTTTCTTTAGTTCTTATGATTTGAAAGAGAAACTTAGAAAGAACAGACAAAATTGCTTCAGATATTTTGAATTTCATAACTTAACCTCATATAGGCATTCAGCTCATTCGTCATGTCAAAAATAGAACTATCATTAAATATCTCCTGTGCATCATTAAGAACAAAATTACTATGTACAATATAAAATCTAGAATATGAAAGTGGCCCAAACAAGGAAGTCAGATAAAAGTCAAGGGTTGGGTAAACAGGGTTATTCTGTCCCTTTTCTTTTTTTTTACATCTTTTGTCTTGTACATGTAAGTGTCATTAGTTGTTTCTGTGCACAAGTTCTTTTCTTAAAAATTATTCCTTAGCTGAAAAATTGTGATTTTTGTTTTGTTTTATCATCTTTCAGCATACATTTAAGCTTTAAAGCAGCTAAATGAAGTTCTGCTACAACTAGCTTAAGGGCGTCAGTGTACCAGTTTTTATACTGTAACGGGACGGGTTTGCTGAAGACGACTTCATAGGGACCCAAAAGTCCTCCAGTAATCGTGTCAGGAATCTGGCATGCTGGTATTCATTCATAAAGCACTTCATTGAGTAAAGTGAAGCATAAGCTGATATAACTATATATAATCTATTAATTAGCCAAGAATCAATATATGAAAAACTAATTTCTACCATAAATAACAAATAATTTCTGCGAGGTGAAAAAAATCAGCACTTCGCCCTCATCTTTTCAAAATGTTCGATCATGTGACTTTGTGATTACAAGATTGATCTTTATGGGTCAACTAAATACATATTTGAGTATGCTTCAGCTTGGACGGTTAAGAAAACAATATACGTTCTGTTTTTTTACAAAATAGATTGTCAGTTTCTTTTTCAAAATTCGTAAAAGGACTTGTATTCTACTATTTTATTAAATTACCAAAAAAATTAAAGAAAGTTATTGAAAATAAAATCTTGCATATGAGTTTTAAAATCATGTTATGTCAACAAAGATGTTTCAAATAAAGTACATGGCGTTACTCTTAGGGGTTCGAGAGAATTAGTCTTATGACATCTCAGGCAACTATTAAGTATCATGGTTGACATCAGCTGGGGTAATTGATATTTCACAGTATAATATGCAATTTTATTGACAGTATTATTATTATAATACTTTAAGTGGATTAGAATGATGTTGAAATGATTGTTTAATCTTATAATGCACAAGAATTAATTAAATAAAAACAAGGTTTTACCAAAATGTCTTATTCTGGTTAAGTTTCATAACAGGCAGGTCTGATATTCAGTACTTAGATCATTGCTGCATCAGATGATTTTGAAGAAGAAAATGTCTAAAAAGTGGCTTGCCTTATAAAATTTTGGGACCCAGAACTACGCTGGAACAGAACATGTCAATTTTGCAATTTTGGGATAAAATTTCAAGTTTGATACTTTATTTATTATTTTCAATGATGATTGAAAGATTATATATTGTGCTCATATAGATACGAAAATGTGTTTTATTTTAGGATAATGTTACCATTGTTGACAAGACAAATGAGTGAATGCCTGTGTTTAACCTCTATAGATTTCAATGAAATTAACATTTTTGGGAAGAATTATTATCAAATTACAAAATCAAAAACTTTCTTTGATATTATTAAAATAATGCAATAGTTATGTTTAGAAAAAAAACCAAAGTGAGAGTTTCTGCATATCACTGAGGTTATTTAGATGGAAAGGAAAATGTAAAATGATAATTTTAACAACAGTTCATGCAGTCACTACAACGATTAAACTATTGATGGCTCACATTTTTACAAGTTTCACAAAATTCATTATTTCAGATCTTGACTGGCTAGAAAATAAAAGCTTCACATCAGACACTGCTGAAAAAGTTGTGAAGTTCCAAAAAGAGCTTGGAAAATTACAGAAAAAGAGGTATATCAAACATTGTTTAACATGTTGTTTAGAGTAGTGAAAGTCTTGATAAAATTATGAAGTCATCTATTTAGTTTAACAAACCAGACTTATTTATGTTCTTCCAACTTTAATGTCTTATATTAATTACCTTTAAGCCATTTACCAGCTACTAGACTAATTCTAAGTGGTGTTGTTTTATTAGAAATTGAGCTCATTTTCTATCCACGAATAAAGGGTTGAAAGGCATGCATCTTAAATTGTATAAAGTGATACATCTCTTACACATAGTTTACAAAATTATTGTTTGAATTTAGAAACATAATAATTCTAAAATGCTTGTATGAAGAAAATATGTTTGTATAATGTCCAATTAAGAGTGAATGACACATGCACAAAATCATCGCTAAATGGTTTAAACCATACTTAAAATATTAAAATAGCAGAATAATATTTTGTTCTGGAACATTTTATTCTGTTTTCATACAATATTCATGTGTGTTAAACAACAGAGACATTACAGTGTAAATTTTTAGCTCGACTATACGAAGTATATGGAGAGCTGTCCTACTCGCCCCGGCGTCCGCGTCCAGATTTCAGATTAAAGTTTTGGTGCAGTAAAATATTTTTCACTATAACTTTGTCATTTCTTAAGGTATCAACTTCAAACTTCAAATATATGTTCCTTATCATCAACCACATCTTATGTGACAAGGTTCATAACTCTAGCACCAATAGTTTCAGATTTATCTCCCCTTGAACTTAGAATTTTCCTTAAAAAATACTATTTTTTACTGTAACTTCTTTATTTCTTAAGGGATCTTCCTCATACTTCAAATAAATGTACCTTATCATCATCCCCATCTTATGTGACAAGGTTCATAACTCTAGCACCAATATTTTTAAGATTTATCTCCCCTTGAACTTAGAATTTTCCTTAAAAAATAATATTTTTTGCTGTTACTTCTTTATTTCTTAAGGGATCACCCTCATACTTCAAATATATGTACCTTATCATCATCCCCATCTTATGTGACAGGGTTCGTAACTCTAGCACAAATAATTTCAGATTTATCTCCCCTTGAACTTAGAATTTTCCTTAAAAAATATTATTTTTTACTGTTACTTATTTATTTCTTAAGGGATCACTTTCATACTTCAAATATATGTACCTTATCATTAACCACATGTTATGTGACAAGGTTCATAACTCTAGCACCAATATTGCAAGAATTGTCACCCCATAAACTTAGATTTTTTACTAGAAAAATGATTTTTTTTTACTATAACTTTTTTAGTTTTAAAGGTATACCTCAAACTTCAAATACTTATTCCTTATCATCAATTACATTTTCATTTTATGTGACAATGTTCATAACTCTTGAAGCAATATTTACAGATTTATCTCTCTTTGAACTTAGGATTTTCTTTAAGAAATATTATAACTTCTTTACTTTTTAAGGTATCTACTTCAAACTTCAAATATATATTTCTTATCATAACACACATGTTGTGTGACAAGGTTCATAACTCTAGCGTGACTATTTCTAGAATTATTTCCCTTGATCTTGGAATTTATGTTAACAAATGTTATTTTTTTACTATAACTTAATACATATTAATACATAATTGATTTTTCTTTCATAGTTTTGTCCTCCTTACTGCGTCCAGTATTTTATTAGTGGAGCTTGGCTGTCTCCTGTGACAGCACTTGTTGAGAATCTATTAAGGCAATGGAAACTACAAAATTTTATCATTTTATAAATTTTATGAAAATAATTCATTTATAAGATATATCATGTATATAGCTCTTTACCCTTTAACCACAGGTGCAAAGAAGGTAATGATGAACAACAAATTCTGACTATATTTATGTTTCTTCTTCATATCTCAACCATACATAGATGTACATACCATACCACTCCATACACCTTTCCATATACATACATATAGGAAATGTGTACCATTTTGCACTTGGAATTGACAAAAAAAATTTCATTCTTGAAAAGTGGGAAAATATTTTGGGTAGGGAGCAAAATCACCGAGTAGGTATTGAAGGGGAAAAATTGACATTTCCATTCTTTGCCTTATTATATTGTATTTTATTTATTTTTTGCAGTAAGAGTACTGATGATTCGGATGATGATGATGGTAGTGGTGGTGATGGAGTCAAAAGCAGATATCATGAAGCAGTCTCTGGTGATTCAGGCGTAAAGGGGCTCACATTTGATCTTACACAAACAGTATCAGATATTCATGGAGTCCATAAATGCACACAACGGAAGGAATATGATTCCGCTGATTCAGAAGGGTACAGATATCAGAAAAAGAAGACAAAGAAAAAGCGTAACTATAGTTCTAGTGATGATGATGAGGCTGGCAATTATGAAAGAAAGAAGAAAAACAAACATAAACATAAAAAGAAGCACAAGAAGGAAAAACAAACACGCAAAAAGAGAAATGATACAGTCATGTAAGTTTGTAATATTTTTTTGTGCCTGTATATTTAACAGATGGTATTAAGCTTCCAGCTAGCGCCATAATAATGGCAAGGAGGTATTTAGTTTTACCCCTCTTCTTGTGTGTATGAAAAACTTGTCCGGCCCCAAACTTTTTCATCCAAATTTTGAAAGATTCTGGCACATTAATTATTTTGATATGCATGTACAAGACCTAGATCCCAAGCTCGAAGGTCACACTTACAGGTCAAAGGTCAGCAGGCTCATTAAAGGGTACATAAGCTCAGTGAAATGCAGTGCATCAGAATATGTATGTGTTTGTTGACATTTGTTGACATTATTACTTTGATAATAGATTACAATCATTAGATGGATACAGGTGTGTAACAGTTTTTATATGATCAGAAAAAAACAACTTACACTGACAATTTAATAAAGTACAACTGTTTAATATGGCTACTTAATGATTAAATTATCAGCAGCATAGCCATAACAGATGACCTTTGATTCAAGCATTACAAGGGTCACAACAGTGTTTTCTCATATGATACACAAAACAGTGTATTGTCTAATTGTATGTGTTTTCTTTTTAGACCAGGTATATTTGAAAGCAAGAAGGTATTTTTGGACGATATAGAAGACATTGCACCAGAACATGCTTTTAAGTTAGACCGAATACCAGACCACAACAGCTGGACATATGGTTCCCTGTATAATGGACATATAGCACACTATAGACCGGCCTGTAACCAGTGTATTGGCTCTGCTAGGAACCAGCCACTTTACCTGAAAGATAGAGAAAAGGGCAAGAAAGATAAAATTTCAAATGAAAGGTACCATAGTAAAGAAAGCAGAACATTGGTCAAACAGCCTGCTAAAGAGGTTATTAGAGTAGCAAAAGAAGAAAAGAGCAATGAAGTTGACATGGGTAATTATATTCCAGTAAATCAAGCTAAAGCCAATGAAGTGGATTTGCAAGAAAAAGATGTGAGACAAACAATTCTAGATGACTCTACAAGTCTGTATGTGATTGGTAAAGGGAAAAACACAGAACAATTAGAAATGGAAGAAGTGAGACCTGATCCAATGAGACTGAAAGTTGCTGACTATAATAAGAGGTTAAGAGAGACGCCAAGTAATGTGAAACTGTGGCTTGAATTTGTCAGATTTCAAGATAAACTTGTATTGGTGGAGAATGAACAGGTTTCTGTAGATGATACCGAAAAGGGAGGTAAAAAGCCAAGTGCAAGAGTAGTTTTGGAGAAGAATCTCAGTATTCTGGATAAAGCATTGGAGTCGAATCCTGCTGATATAGACTTGTTGCTGGCAAAGATAGAGCTGGAGTCAGAGGTTTCAGACACTTTTAAAATGAACAAGGAGCTAGAAGATTTGCTGTTCGTACATGCTGCTAATACAAAACTGTGGAAGTTCTACCTGACGTTTAATCAGTCTAGAATTTCTTCGTTCTCTGTGACAAAAATGACAAAATACTATCATAAATGTTTCCGGACATTGCTTAGAATATTGGAGGGGGATGTACAAACATGCAGTGTTCCAGAGAATTTAGAATCTGAAATACTAGGTAGGTTAAAAGTAAATCGAAAGGTTTAAATATATTTTTCCACATGCTAAAATTTCAAAGGTGAATTGCTTTATTGTTGAGCTGTCTGTAATCTATAGAAAATATGATTATAGTGACAGGAATCATAGGTAAATAATTAATACATGTATATATCCAAAATTGACAGAACATTGTCTGTACTTTTAAATTCTTTGAAAGTATACAGCATGTGTGGGATAATTGATAAAAATTGCATAAAGTACATGTATTGTTTAGCAGAATATTTTTATGTTGTTGATATGTTCATATATGCACAGTTTTTAATGAAAAGATGGTGATATTCTCTTAATCTCTTTAACTTGCTAAATTTGGATAATGGACTTGCTATGCATTGAACTCGGAGCAATCCATTTAAGGTTTTAAGACATATCAGTATCAAATTCAAAAATGAAGCTGTCAGCAGTATAGAGCTTCGTCAGGCTGTATGTAAGTGCAGGCTGGGCTGGCTAATACTGGTTTCAGGCTTATCAAGACTGCAGGCTGTCAACCAATTCCTATATTCCTATAAAACTCCTATATTTTGGGTCGGAATCCTATATTTTAAAAAGCCTCCTATTTTTCCTATATTCTCCTATATTTTGAATATTTTTCCTATATTTTTAAAAAAATATATTGCCGAGGAATTCAAAGAGATTTAAATTTTGGTACTGCTTTTGGCCTTTTCTATTTTACAGGTAAGATAATGTCTATGCTTGCATCAGCATCACATTACTATGCTCAAGGCTGCTGTACTCCACATAGCAATCTGCATGGTCACCATGAAAAGCAGTGCATCAGTATGTCAACTTTATTTCAGGTGACCATTCAGATGATGGTCTTGCATTGCTGTAACTTTCTGTCGGGATGCTGATGCTGTGGTTCAAAGCTAATGCAGGCTGTCCGCTGTGTCCCTAAAATTCCTAACAAAATCTTAATTTTTTCAGTTTGGCTAAAATTCCTAAAAAAGTGAAAATTCAAAGGGAATTCCTAGGGATGCCCTATTTTTTCACTGAAATTCCTCATTTTTTATCTTTTGTTATAAACATACTTATAACTCGTAACCCTGTCAAAGTAATCACGGACATAACTAAGTCGACCATGTTTTGAACATGATCAAAAATGATTTGGCCATGATTTGCCAACTCAAAATTGATGACATTGAAATGGTTTCGTTTTAACTAAAAGTTACTTTGACTATGTCAGTAACATTGCTATTTCATAATCAAAGCAGTTGTTGATAATCATGTTGACAGCAAAAATACTACCATATTATGGTCCTGAAACTCAAATCATAACCATAAGAGTCCACTTATTCTGGAATATTTTGACACTCTTTTGCCAACTCCAGATATCTTGAATTTTATGTTTGTTCATTTTATCCAAATTTCTGAAGTGGTCCATTTATATCATATCATATTTAAAAATGATCATTATGAAGCTGTTGTAACACAATCTTAATCAAAAACATGTATAAATCGTTGTCAAAAATTAATGTACAATTTGTTTACTCACAACTCTTTTATTTAAATCTGCATAATATCGAAACAACATTGTAAAGTACTGAATGGGTTAACGTAGACTTTGAAAAAATAATTCTTTCCCTCATACTTATTTATCCTTTTCGATGTCTTTGTAGGAGAAATTGTTTATTTTGCCACAAAGTTTTTAATTTCATTCAATTCTTGTTCTTTGATTCAAATGGTGCAATTTAGGAAAATGCAGACTCATATAATTAATCACACTAAAATAATTTGGCAGTTCAATAATATAATGCTCATTTCCAGTTACCATGTACACACATTTTGCAATTATGTGATCTAGAGAAACTGCAATTGAATGGTCAGTGTGATGAACTTTTTTGATGTGCAATTCTTTGTGTTGATTATAGATGCTTCCCATTTATTCAAATGACTGTAGATCTACTAAGGCAAATGCCTTTTTCCTTTCTACTTGTACAAAAAATTTCATATCCCAAGCTGCATTGTGCAAGAATTTCACTGTATAAGAATTCCTTTTAGACACTTGTGGTTATAACATTCCGAAAACATAGGTAAAACATGTTCTTTTTGACATGTTCAGCCAGTTTAAAAATATGGTTTGAACATGATTTGACTAAGACCATTTATGCATTTATAACATTCCTAATTTAAGCCCTAAAATTTCTGAAATATTACCCTAAAATTCGCCCAAATTTTATGTCGGAAGGTGCTGGACAGCCTGCTAATGGTGTCCTTCACTTATACGGTAGACATTTTATTGTAGAAACAGCATGTGTAAAAGTAAGAATAATTTACATTTATATAAGCATTGGTAAGTAAAACAATTTAAGTTGAAAACTCCTATTTTTTTCCTCAAAATGGTCCAAAAACTCCTATATTTCCTGCAAAAATATTCCTATATTCCTCCTTTATTTTTGATAAGACCTGGTTGACAGCCTGAGACTGAGATCAAGCAGTTTTATGATTAATAACGATTACTAGTATAAGGACTTTAAAAAACAAAACAATGTTATTATGCATTTATTGGCATTTATATTCAGTTAATATTATTTAGTTTCAAGTATACTTTACCAATCTTCATTGCTTTACATCAGATTATTTGTTCTTACATGTATAATACAATATTTTAATATATTCTTCGTCATGTCAGCCAATCATGTATTCTTGTCAATGCCACTTTATTCCTGCTTCAGATCTTGAAATCTTAAATCTTGTAATTGACTGTGTTAAAGGTGCATTAAGACTCAGAAAAAGTAAATAATTTTTCCTTCTTTAGAAAAGGGGAAACATTAGCTTTAAAATGCTGCAGTAATGGATTTAGAGCCAACAAGATGCTAATCACATGAAGAAAATAGTGTTGAACATGGAATAATTTAATCTTACAAGCCATGTAGCAAGTCACTTTAATTTTGTTACAGGTACTTTTTACAGCGCTGTTTCATTCTTACAGATATATTTCTACAGTACTGTTTCTTTCTTACAGATATATTTCTACAGTACTGTTTCTTCCTGAAGCAGACTGGATACAAGGAGAAAGCTGTGGCAACATTTCAGGCAATGCTGGAATACAACTTGTTTGCCCCACCATCTTTAGTTTCCAAGAAAATTAAAATGGCAGAATTTGAAGTATTCTGGGATAGCAACTGTCCCAGAATTGGAGCAGCTGATGCCTCAGGCTGGAAGAACTGTATTGGAAAGGAGGTGACTGGTCCTGCAAAAAATAGTTCAGGTAAAAGTGGACTACCTATCATAATTACATGTTTCTTATTTGTATAAAACTTCATCAAATGTTCCAAATATGAATTTTTCCTCTGTCATTTAGGGAATACCACCAACACCAGTAAATTGGGAAGATTGTATTGTTATATTACATGGATTTGTAATTTTACAACATACAAAGTTAAAATTTATATTAACCCTAACCACCTATATATTTCAAATAAACTTGTCCAGCTTCCAATCAGGACAAAATCATTCATCATTGTTAGGGACCATTTTAATATATGCACTAGCAAACAGTGCAAACATTGATCAGATAGCACTGATGTGCCGGCTGATCATGGCAGGCACTTGTTTCATGGTTAGAATCAATTACACCCAACAGGCTAATGATTTAAGTATTTTGATATATTCTACATGAAAAAATATCACATGATATTTAGATATTTTGCTTGTCTTTGACTTATATTTTGGAACATTTTAAAAAAGAATTGTCCAGCCTATCTGATTCATGTGGAAATAAAAGCAATAAAAGAAGAGGTTCAGTTAAAATGTCCGAAATATTGAGTAATCAGTGCTGACCAAACAGTCAATGGTATCTTTTATAAAACTTACTTTGATACATCCAAGGTAAAATCCAAAAGTTTCTGTGAAAAAAAAGGTGAGAAAAAACTCTAAAATCCTTAATTACAGATTCTCTTGAAGAAATAGAAGATGGTATAACAGAGAAAAAACTTCCAAAACATGACGCATGGTTAGAAATTGAATCCTTGAGAGAGCAGCATACCTGGTTACCATGGCAACCAGGTGAAGGTCAGACGGAGGACGATTGTCAGGATGTTGAGAGACTTGTTATGTTTGATGATGTATCTCCCGTATTGTTTAATGTCTCAGAGAAACTCAAGATTGAATTGGTGTCATCATTTCTGAAATTTCTTGGTTTTCCTCTAGGAGTCGATGTTTTAAGTACACAAGTGCCACCAATGTGTTGTGAAGATGTGAAGAATTTGACTTCTTACTACCAAGGTAGTATTAAAGGAGATGTAGTAGCTGTAGAGGATAATGAGATTCTCAGAAACCTTGCAGTTGAAGTCCTCAGGTTAGCTATTCCATGTTTCTCAGGGAAGATACGATCAGATTTGACAATATGTCAGATTGGAATTCAGTTAAGCAAGTATAATCGTGAAGGTCTGTCAAAAAGTGATAAAAAGGAGATGAAGAAATTGATGAAAAATTTGTTGAAAGAAGAGAAGAATAGAAATGATCTTTTTATTTGGTTAGCATATATTGACCTTGAAAGGTCAATCGGAAAACCAGGTGAAGGTGAAAGTGTTATAGAAACAGCCTTGACAATGTATAGTGGTGAATCTGTGGAACTTGTGAATGAAAGTACTGTTGGATTGATCTCACTTTATTGTCAGTATTGTGTGATGCTTCTTCACCTTGACCAGAAAATTCCATGTAAACTGTTGTCCAGAGATTCGCCAGTGTCATCAGAAATTAAGAAAAAGGTGCTATCTGTGGTGAATTGTTTAGTTGATAGTAAGAAATTCAATCTAAAAGAATTGAAAGAAATTTCTGGGGCTGTGACACTGAAGACTATGTCAACTCTAGCGAGACTGAGTAAGTCTTTGTTTGAGTTGGTTTCTGAAGGGACATCTGATTTATCAACAGAGAAGTTTCTAAAACTTGTTTGGTGTCACTGTTTATTCACATACTGTAAGTCAGGCATAGCATCTAGTTTAGAGATTTACTCATCTGTGATATCCTTAGTGTCAAACAGTAATAAAAATAGGTCAGACCTAGAGAAGAGGTTACATACAGACCAGCTGAGATTGATAGTCTACCATTTATCACGATCGTCTTCCCCTTTACAATTGCTCAGAGAATGCCTTGATACAGCTCTACGGAAGTTTCCAGATGACCCAGTTTTTCTCTCGTTGTTCACGGATGTAGAGAGAAAGTCAAGAATCAGTGGTCGATTTAACTTTTACTTTGATCGTTGGTGTCGGACTTTAGACGCGCCCACCCCAGCTGTAATTGCTGTACTTACTCAGCTGGATTTTATCTCAGATATGACTAATTCAGGTAAATAAACAATTAGAATGATAGTGACCTAGATAGATATATACTTGTGCACTATAAATGTATTTCAGAAATTTACTTATGTTTAATGTACGTTTAATACAAATTATTATCTTAAGATATTTGACAATGTTAGTTTTACTGAAAAATTTCTTCCAGAGATATGAAATTTTATTTTACTCAGAATTCAAGAGGGTGAAACTATGCTTATCTTTTATCTATGAATTATAATTCTCAAAGGCCTTTGCTCATGAGGCGTCTGTGGCTGAATGGTTATTGGTTGTTGACTTCAAATCACTTGTCTCTCACTATTTGTGCAGCCCCAGTGTCTAAGAATTCTTTCATGTGAGAAAGCTATCCAGTTAGCTGATGGAACTTTGACGGTTCTACTCGAATGCCTGTTTGTGCCTGAAATAGTGCACAGAGGGGCACTTAAGGCCATCCTCCACCAGTAATGCTGGAAAGAAGGGAAAAAACTGCATTGCTCATGTTAAACCACTTTCTTACCTGTTTTTGTTTTCTCACAGAATATTTGAGTACTTCAAGTACAAGTGGACTTGTACACAGGGCCAGATCATGGCTGGAACAAAGTCTTCTACATAGTAACTTACAACATTGTCCATTATTGTGGAGGCTTTACTTCCTAATAGAGGTAAAATTAAAACTTATAAAATATTGATGCTTATTTTTCTTGGCATCTTATTTTTGGCCTCATCTTGTCGCCTTAATGCAGTAACAGGGTAACTCATTTAAAGTCTATATTGCTATATATTTGCTGTTTGTAGTTTACAAAATTATTGTTTTTAAATTTTGAAAATAGTTTCAAAATACATGTATGAAAGAAATACACATACACAGACTCTTTGCTATTAGTGTTTAAAATTCTACTCAAAATAATAGCATAATATTTTGTTCCGAAACATTTTACTATGGTATTTAAACATACATTATTCAATTGTGTTAAATTTATATATTCTTTGTTAACAACTATGTTTTTCTGTTTTCTTTCAGAAACAAGTGGGAGATGGTAATCGTTTAAAAGGTCTATTTTACAGAGCAATTCAACAGTGTCCATGGAATAAGGTATATGTATTTTTTTTTCTATAACAGTAGTTTTTGAATACTCTAGTAGGGTATAAAAGTTGAGTGAGACTAAAATGGTGTTTGAGCACCACACTAAATATCATATTCCAGTACATACCGGACAAGGCACTTGAATTATTAAATGATTAAAATATCATCTTTTCACCCTGGGAAATGCTCTTTAAGACGTCTAATTCATCTGTTCACACCAATTTAGATACGATAAAGAATGAAAAATGTAAGAATTGCCCAAATAAGTCAGTTGTTGTTACTGTTAATGGTTTATAAGACATAATGATATGCTATTTTATGTTATAAAATATATAAATGTATTATATAATCAAACAGTTCTTATATTTGGAATGATATCCTAATTGTTTTTAGCTCACCTGTCCTAAATTGACAGGGTGAGCTTTTGTGATTACAGTTCATTGGCGTCCATCCATCTGTAAATTCCTCATAAACCATTAAGCTAATTTCATCCAAACTTCAGAGGAATGTTCCTTTGGTGGTCACCTTTGAAAATTGTTCAAAGAATTGAATTCCATGCAGAACTCTTGTTGCTATGGCAACTGAAAGACAAAAACTTAAAAAACAGTAGTTGTCTACTAGGTTTGCTCAAATAAAATCCCTGGGGTCAAAATTAACCCCACCCCAGGGGGTCGTTGATTTACCTTTTATGTGAATAGTAAAAACTAAAAAGAATCTTCTTTTAAAAAACCCAAAATCTAGAGCTAAGATATTTGACATGAAACATCTTCTCAGAGTGTCTACCGAGTTTGTTCAAACAAAAGCCCTTGGGTCAAAATTTCAACACCAATGGTATGAATAATTTGTCACAGCTACAAAGGTTCAAACAAACCTTTTATTTTGTATCATTACAGAGTATCTATGTGGATGGTGTGCGCATGTTTGGAGCAGAACAGTTACAGGAGATAGTCGATCTGATGACGGAGAAAGAACTGCGAGTTCAGATTCCTGTGGAAGAATTGGATATTCTTATGTCGTGACAGTTTCATGTGCCTTCCATTTGTACAACAAATGATGTGAATTTCTTTAATTGCAAAGATGTCAAACAATTTAAAGTGGTGATAAGGCCGAGTGGTTAAGCCGTCAGACTAGTAATCTAAGGATTTCTGGCTATATGGCAACAAACCTGTCGGGGACATGTTGTTGTTTCCTTCAGCAAGAAATCATACACTGGTGCTTGATACAGTTTGGTTCCGGGCTTCAAATGTGTTTCCATAAGCTTATAGCTTCCAACACAATAAAATCAAAATAAATTTGTATAAACTAAACAATTTGAAAAGATACTGTCAGTTTCAGTTAAAGTGGAACAAACAATTAACACAATATGTTGAAGATGTTTTGCTAAAGGAAACCATCATTTCGACTCATATAATAATTTTGTCATCTACATTTGAAAAGATGTACAGAATTTACTTAACGCACCAGTTATTTACAATAATGTGTGAAATTCCAAATAAACATGAAATGTGTCGATGTACACACATTCTATATTTATTAACAAATATTTACATTCACATATATGATTTGTTAGCGTATACAATTTTGAAATTTTCTATCAAATTTGTTTAGATTGTGCCATTTGTTTCATCGCTAGGTTGAAGTTTGAATAATAATTTTACAGATGTGCTTTTGTTTTTTGTTTCTTTTCCTAAAATAGTGAAATATATGTATTAATTTGTGGAGAAATTTGAGTTGTCCTTTCACAACTTCTAAAGAGCATGTTGAACAGCAATGGAATTTACCTGAAAAGAATATACAGCACAAACCAATAATACAAGATTTGTGCAACAAATGGGCATAAAAGAAATATCAGATCAAACAGGGACTAAAAACAAGAGCTGCCACCCAAGTGACGAATGCCCCCGAAAAGGTTTCTTAAGGATGCAGGTATTATGAAAAGAAAAGAGAATGAAAGTAACTGATTGCTGAGTATTGTTCTCTTTATTATTGTACCTGTAATCTCTAATTGTGATAGCATGAATCTTCAAAATATAAGTGTGACCTTGACCTTTGAAGAAGGGACGTGGTTCCTGGACGCGATAAAATGTTGTTATGAGATAGACATCTGTGCCGAGTTATTTCAAAATCCCTCAATGTATGACAGAGTTACAGTCTGGTCATGATTGTTGTGTAATTGGGGACACACGAATAGACGGACATGAGCCTTAGCCGCGACAAATTGTCTTGATGTGGTAGACATTTGTGCCAAGTTATTTAAAAATCCTTTGATGCATGACAAAGTTACAGCCCGGACACAAATGTACCTATGTGTACCTATAAACTCTCATTGTGATAAAGTGAACCTTCAAAATGGTAGTTTGACCTTTGAGGTAGGGACGTGATTAATGGACGTGACACATCGTCTTAAATTGATGATGTAGACATTTTTTGCCAAGTTATTTTAAAATCCTTTCATGCATGACAAAGTTACAGCCCGGACACAATTGTGTGTACCTATTAATTGTAATTGTGATAATGTGAAACTTCAAAATGTTAGTGTGACCTTTACCTTTGAGGTAGAGACGTACGTAATTCTTGGACGCGACATATTGTCTTGATGTGGTAGACATTTATGCCTAGTTATTTTAAAATCATTCAATGCATGACAAAGTTACAGTCCGTACACGAAGGTTTGTACCTATTTTCTCTAATTGCGATAATTTGAAACTTCAATTTAAAATGATAGCGTGACCTTAAACGTTGAGGTAGAGACGTAATTCTTGCAGGCGACACAGTCTTGATGTGGTCGACATTTATGCCTAGTTATTTTAAAATCATTCAATGCATGACAAAGTTACAGTCCAGACACGAATGTGTGTACCTATTTACTCTAATTGCTATAATGTGACACTTCGAAATGATAGTGTGACCTTGACCTTTAAGGTAGAGACATAATTCTTGGACGAGACACATCGTCTTAATGTGGTAGACATTTATGCCTAGTTATTTTAAAATCATTCAATGCATTACAAAGTTACAGTCCGGACACGAATGTGTGTACCTATTTACTCTAATTGCGATAATGTGACACTTCAAAATGATAGTGTGACCTTGACCTTTAAGGTAGAGACATAATTCTTGGACGAGACACATCGTCTTAATGTGGTAGACATTTATGCCTAGTTATTTTAAAATCATTCAATGCATTACAAAGTTATACAGTCCGGACACGAATGTGTGTACCTATTTTACTCTAATTGCGATAATGTGAAACTTCAAAATGATAGTGTGACCTTGACATTTGGGGTAGGGATGTGGTTCTTAGACCCGACACATCGTCTTGATGTGGTAGACATTTGTGCCAAAATATTTCAAAATCCCTCAATGTATGACAAAGTTACAGTCCGGACACGAATTAAGTAGGGACGCTCAGACGAACGGACAGACGGTGCGATTATATTATGCCTCCCTTCTGGGGCATAAAAAAACAAACATTACCTACATGCCAAATATAGACACAATTACTGAAATCCTTCAAAAGTTATGCTGGGGTAACCAATAAATTGATTGAAAAGGGGCATAACTCTACTAACAATTGGTTGACGCAATAAGGGCTGTTTTTGCATATGTTGACCCCTTTTTGGTAATTTTGTGGATTGTAAGTGCCGATTGCAATATGTAAATTAATTTATTTGTTCACCTCCCATTATTTTAGTTTTAAATACATATGAAAATTAACATGCTGCTTTAAATCAATAAAGATAACTTGTTTATTCTATACCGGTATTTCTATATTATAGATTCTTTCAATCTTAAATAGACTTAATATTTTATTCGCCCCAGTATTGATTTATAGTATTAAAGGGACTCCACTGAGGTTTTAAGACATAATGGGCCCGAGATTTCTGTAGGTCTGGGCCAATAACATGTGTGCCATCAGAACATTCCCTTCCCCCATTTTTCCAGAATAATCATTTTTTGTGAAAACCCCAAAATGAACTCTTTTCACTCATATTTGACTAAGAATCGCACAAAAAATAAATATTTTGTTAAACCCTTGATATATTTCTCAATAATCCTTTTCAGTTTTATTTCCATTTTAAGTGCTTTAACACTTGATATGTTTACATAAGTTATATAATGCAGCTTTAAACAAAAATAGACCTTGTGTACTCTCGCGTATCTATCAAACTTTTTTATTTCCGTTACCAGGAAGTAGAAATGAACTATTTTACATTGAAGGAAGACATATTTGATTTCTTTTAATTTCGTTTTGTATAGTGTTGTATGCAACATATCAATATTGGTTTAAAAACTGTATAGATATAAAAAGTTGGGAAATATTATACGGTATGTTATGCTTTAAAATCTTATAACTTTGTTGTGTTAAAAGAACGTAATATTAACGTAACTTAAAATGGGGCATGCAAAAGTTCAAAACATCAAAATGTAGTTAAAGGTATAAAACTGACAACTTAAATCAACTGAATGGAGAAAAGTTATGACTTTTATACCATACATGTATGCATAAAAATGAAATATTTTCAAGAACCAAAAAAAATATAATAAATATACAAGAAATAAGAAAAGTTAACGAAGAAACTAAGGGTATTTTAGGATACAAAATAAGTCCTAAAACAGTTACTGAACTTTGTCCCAAGTGACACATTTTCCTTATATATTATGCGTCATGTGATTGAATACAAAAAGAAATGACAAATGTAGGCAAATGTTCTTAATAGGAAAATAGTTGAGCACTGTTTGATTAACGTTTATGTTAATTATAATGCAAACACTCAGCATAATTGGACTTTTATTCTGTTTTAAAACACTTATGGTGACTATAATAATAGCTTTTCTTGATATGTGTTAATGCAAACAGTAAAACAAAATAGTTTTTTGAGTAACACTGTTACATATAAGGTAAACATGCATGTAATAAAATATGCAGACGATTTCATGTTCATAGATAAGACGTTTTTGTTTATTTGCTATTATTCATAGAAGGAAGAAAGATAAAATAATCTTGCTCATAAGTTATTTTTAACACTAGCAGACAGCATGCTTGACCGAGGAAAGTCTCAGATAAAAGGGGAGATAATTTTGGAAAATACATGATAGAGTTGCAATTCCTCGTATATGTTGTTGATGATGAGAATTATATAATTGGTGTTTGCAGTAAATCCCTACAGACAAAAAGTCTGTTTTAGTAGAGAAGTTAAAGTAAAATAAAGCAATTTTCAGGAAAATAATTACAAATGTAGTTTAAAAAGGAGATGGATGCTAAAGTTATAACATATGATGTGGTTGATAATATTGAACATGTTTTTGGATTTTGAAGTACATGACTATTGAAATATAACAATTTCAAGATCAATTCTATGTTAAAAGGGGGGATAATTCTTGATGGAAGCTACAAATATAAACCATATGTAATGTGGGTTTTGATTAGTACAGTATACAACTGAAGTTAAAAGTAAATCCTCAGAGAAAATAAACAAGAGGGCAGAGATGGCCCTAGATTGCTTACCTGACCAATCAAGCTCATCCGAGCAAATTTAAAGTGTTCACAAGATTTTTCTATTTTTAACTCCTTTGAACTTTAGGTTTTTCATCCGAGATGACCCATGTTCGAACTCATCCGAGCAGTTACCTAGACAAGCATCCTGACCAAGTTTGATGACAATTGAGTCAAAAATGTGACCACTAGAGTGTTAAATTAACAATCAAATGTGGACGGACAACGGACATTCAACTACGAGTATCCTTATTTAAGGTCACCCTGAGCTAGCTCAGTTGAGCTAAAAAGGGTGAAACTTTTGTATCGGAAACTGCTAGTAAACCAGCATATTTTCAATAGATGAAATAAAAGTACTTTAACTTGCATTATTTCTTAAATCTGAATTTAAAGAGGTGATGTTGCACTCTTTCCTATATTCGTATAAGACTTCCTATGATAATTAAGTCTAATTAGAACTTTCAATGGTAAGTCCTATTTAAAATGGCAAAAAATACTAATATTACTTATATTGATTTAAATAGCATAATCTTAAACCAGCCCTATGTAAATAGTCTTTATACCTTAAAGTTTAAAAATTTAGTATTGACACGGATTTATATTGTAATGTAAATCCGTGGTATTAAATTTGAATAAATCATCAGATAAAGTTAGACTGTGTGCAAAAAGGTATAAAGGCACCTTTGATAAATTAAACCCAAAGTAGGTCAAAACATTTTGACATTATTTAGCGAAAGGAGTGGATTTATATCGATAAAAAAGTATAATGTAGGAATTGGTATTTTCCCAGGAGTACAATGTAGAAGATACTTAATTAAGGCTTACAGTTATAATAACTATAGAACACATCAATGTTTAAAATTTAAATCAATATTTAAAATAACGGTGAAAGAAATAGACATTTTTATCGATTTTACAATGTAAATAGATCAACTAAAAGCCTAGTTGGGGAAAAGGCAAAATGGCTACAGGTCGACAAATTGATACGGATATTCTTTCGGATGAAATATTTGATGTATTATGTTCAATGTGTATAAATGAAGGCAGGAACACTGAAGGTGAAAAATACTGTGTCGATTGCCGTGATTATTTCTGTGTTAGTTGTGTCAAAGTTCACAATAAAGTGCCTTTATGTGCTGGTCACAAGGTATTGGATAAATCTCAAGTTAAGTCAGGAGCCAGTAAAGGTCTGCCGAGGGCACCAGCAGGGAGATGTGACAGACACGGCCATAAAGATATTGATATGTACTGTCAGAACCATGATAATGTTGGCTGTTCTACATGTATGGCAGTTGATCACAGGTAAACTAAAGTATTTAGACAAAGATAATTTTAAGTAAAAAGTATATGGAATGTTTAGTAAGGCACTAAAATTACATAATGTTCTATTTTCAATATATAACAGTAAATAATATATTATCATCCATCACCTCATAGCCACATAAACTGTCTAAACTTATTTTTCAGATTATGTAAGGATACATTCTACGTACCAGAATTTATCCAAAACAATACTTATCAAGTTGAATCGAGAGACATTCAAACAAAACTCAAGGAAATAGCCAAGACCCTTGAAAAACAAGCTGATAGATTTAAACAAGATAAACAAAGGCTGTTAAAGAGGAAAGCAGAGTTTCTGGCTGATATCAGAAAATTCCGACAAGAAATCAATGGTCAACTTGACAAGCTGGAGAAAAGTTCTATTGATGAGATAGAAAGTAGAGTCAAATGTCTTGAAGACAAAATCGAAGACACTTTAAAACAGCTACAAGCAAACAAGTCCAGGATTAAATCAGCTAATGATAAGTTAGCATCTACAAACACAAATCATTCTGAAGAGTTTGTTTATGTGAAGATGGGAGAAGATACTGCAAATGTTGCCAACAAATATATTGAGCATGCCCGAATGAAATGTACAGTAGATGACATCGAGTTTCAACCTGACAGAACAATTCTTACACAGTTAGAACAAAGGAAGATCCTAGGAACACTATCAGAGAAACCTACAAAGCCTGCTGCCATTTTATTTCAGATTAAAGGAAATCAATCATATAATGTTAAAGTTAAGTCAGATAAAAAAAACTGTTATATCATTAGTGCCTGCTGTATGGAAGATGGTACAATAATTCTAGCTGATAACAACAACAAGAAGCTTAAACGGTTACACAGTTCTAACTATACTGTCACAGACTACTGTGATCTACCTGGAGGACCATGGGATGTGTGTATAATCAATAACAAACAAGTAGCAGTGACTGTTGAATCATTAAAGGAAATTCATTTCATTTCTCTAAAAAGAAAAATGAAAACAACAAACAAGATTAACACTGATTTTGCATGTCTCCATCTTGCATATGCAAACAATAATTTATATATTTCAGATTCTTTCCCATCAGTATATATGTATACGTTGTCTGGGAGGAAACTTAATCAGTTCAGTAAGGATCAATCAGGACATAAGTTGTTCTCTAGCATAGACAGTCTAGCTGTCAGTAAGGATGCTACTAGGATTTATGTTGTTGACTGCAATAATGGACTGATAGTACTGGACAACAATGGTCAGGTTATTACATCATTTAATGACGAGCAATTTAATAAGGGGGCAGGATGTTGTTATTTCACTGAAGCAGGCAGTGTGCTGGTATCTAGATTCAAATTCAATAATGTTTTACAGTTTACATGTGATGGTGAGCTGATAGGAGAGGTTGTAAAAGTTAATAGTGGAAACGAAAGAATCATCGTGTCTGTCTGTTGTAATCAACAAATGACAAAGATGTTTATAAGTATATTTTTTGATGACAACATTGAAGTGTATGACATCTAATCAGTAAAACAAATGATTTACAAAAGAAAAATAAACATTTTTTAATACATGCATGCAAAGAGTGTATCATGTTTTATTTTATTATAGGTAATAAATTTCTGTCAGAGTTCCCATTTTTGAATGCATCTGGTTTTATTGTTTTTTGTTATAGTGGGGCGGGAAATTGAGAAAATAGTGCAAATAGTGATACAAGCATGAAACTTTCAGGAAATCATCTTTAGACCAAATAGTTTTCAAAAGTGAAGTGGGCCAAAAAATATCTCTGCTCATTCAAGATGGCCGCCATTTTTAAAATGGCCGCCATATAAATTTAACGTACATACATAACTCATTCAGTCAAAATTTTTGTAAAGCCCTGAAACTTACACCGAAGCATGTATAAAGTGTCTCCTTTACAAAAATTTAAATTTTACAAGCTTCCGCGTTCGTACCCCTTCTCAATCCAAGATGGCGTCCAATATGGCCGCCGATTTTACGCAAAACTGTTATATAATTTCTATAGTATAATTTGTAGCACAAATTATGTTTATTTCGATAAAAAAGTGTTTAAACATATCAAAAATAATCAAATCATATGTTAATCATAATGAAAATAAAGTTTTTTTAAGTTTATGTCTAAAATATCTTTAAAGATATCAAGAAAAAAAATCTCATTTTTTGCATATTTCTCTTAATTTGGTTTTCTAACTCTATATGCAAAATTAAAAAAAAAAAAAACAACTTTATTTCTTATTTGTAATTCAATTCAAAATAGGGTTTGTTGTTAACATATGAGAGAACCATAAAAACTGTAGGTTTTGTCAAAGTGGGTGGGGTAAATTTATCCTATCATTACAATAGAAAACCAACAAAATTTACACTGACCGTAAATTTTTTCTTCGCTTGTTCTCTTAATTATTATGCAAACGTTCCCTATTAAAAAGTATTCTTTATTGGACGAATGTATTTTTGTCTTTCTTTTGTTTATACAGAATTCATTTTAGTTTGATTGTGTAGGAAGCTATAAAATGTATGTCTTTCTTTCGGTCAAGTAGGTGAGCTAAAATATCAATAAATGCACATACATTTATTAGTATACACTCAGTTATTAAATTTGGTTGCGTGATATTACTGGTTTCAATATCTTGATATTGTTTATTAATTGTTAATTGTAAAGATATATAAGAAGACAATAAGCCAACAAACATGCTTTAAAGAGCAAACATGCACATGAATAAGGTTGTCCATTGACGCATATTATTAACTCCTTCACAATTTCATATTGAAAATTTGAAAATGGCTTTAAAGCTAACTCAATAAGGTAATAATTTTTGCATATATAAAAAAGGCTACTATCACATCATCTCATTCTATGTGTTTTGAAACAGATATATCAATGATATCACCTGACCTACATACAGTTTTTGATAATTTAAATAAAATAATTGTAATTCATAAATTATTTATATCTATTTTTTATTTCAATAACAGGACAATGATGACCCTAAGTCACACATCATTGTTGGGGAAAGGTCACATTCTTTATACACGTAGGTTATTGGGTGTATCAATTTTGTCATAACATATATATGATTTGTGAAATATTGTAAGGATGCTTTAAAAGAAACAACCTAATATCAAGTTTCTCAGAATTGTTTCTCATGAGAGGACTTAAATAAATATTAATATTCCTATATGAGTCAATATAAACTTAGTGACCCCTGATGCGTGATAAATTTTGACCATCTTGTCCATGATTTTTAAGCTCGACTATTCGATAAGAATAAGTAGAGCTATTGTAGTCACCCGAGCGTCGGCGTCGGCGTCGGCGTCGGCGTAACCACTTATGTTAAAGTTTTTGTAATAGTTTAAATATTTTCAAAGTCCATTGACATATGGCTTTGAAACTTTGCACACTTGTTTACCATCATGACCCCAACCTGTAGACAGGAGGAGGTAACTGTATCAAGCATTTTGACAGAATTATGCCCCTTTTTCGACTTAGAATTTACGTTAAAGTTTTTGTAATAGTTCAAATATTTTCAAAGTCCATTGACATATGGCTTTGAAACTTTGCACACTTGTTCACCATCATGACCCCAACCTGTAAACAGGAGGAGGTAACTGTATCAAGCATTTTTTTTTACTATCAAGCACTAAGAATAGTCGAGCTTTGCTGTCCTACCGACAGCTCTTGTTAAATATTTGTAGAGTATTACAAGGTTATGATGATACATAATTTATTCGGTTACTGTAGTTTTAGAGAATATAAATTTATTACAAAAGTCTGTGTAAAATAAGTGATATCCATTTCAAAACCATTTTAACTGCAGGATATCATACACTTTTTATGCATTTAGTTTAACACTAGAAGTTCTCTTATTGTGTTTTCCTACACAAGTCTATATACCCGGGTGGCTCTATGAGCAAGATTCGTGACACAAGATGATGGTATACGCTTAGTATCTATGTTCTGTGCATTCTGCTTTTTGAGAAGACTTTTTAAACATTTTACTATGTAAAATTTATGTACACTAAGTGACGAACAGAGAGTTTTATGTAACTTTTAAAGAGGTCTTCTCTACTTGACAATGTTACTGGAATGTTGAATATCTAAGTTCTAGGCATTGTAGTTCTCCTAAAGAGGACTGACATGTGATTTCCTATATACGTCTTTCAAAACTAAGTGCCCCTCATGGTAGCCATTGACAGGCCTTTTCATCATGCTCATGCAGTCTAAAATGGCTCCCTGGTATGTTACTAATGTTTGCATAGACTTAATACTGTCTTAAAAATCTTCTCCAAAACTAAAGTTCCCAGAGCACAAAAATTATTATGAAAATTCACTCTGTGATACTCAATAAAAATTATGAATTATTGGCAAAGGACCAAATCACTAAGTTAATATGGACTCATATAGAAATATAATTATATGAGTCTTCTTATGTGAAACAGTTCCTATGAGTACCTAGATATTGGGCATGTTTCCTTTGAAGCGAACCTTCACAAATAGTTCATAAATCATAACTGTATGTGTTAAAAAAAATTGATACTCCTAACATGATCTTATCTTACTTCTGTTTTAAAGCGTTATGCCAATTTTCCTGCAGTGGATCTTAGGTGAGTGGTCAAGGATTGTTTAATGGGTAACATGAAATTTGAATAATCTTTGACAGACATTTAGTTTATATTTCAAATCATCAGCAAATATATGTGGGTCAAGCGATACTATTGATATACTTATTTCACTACACATAGATCATATGGTGTATCAGTCTTAATTTTACTTTGTATCTTTTGAAAATACCATGTCTAGATATGTTATTATGTAAACAGGGCTAATTCAATTATACCTAATTACAGTGACATGAAAGTAGATATAACTTTGAATCGTACTGTAACAAGCCTTCAGTAAGACTTTGATATCTAATGCAAACTTCATTTTTCTCATTGTGTTGACTTTAAAGCGATTTTTTTTCTTTTCGTAAAGAAACTGTTAAAGATCCTGTAACACATTTTTTTCATGGTTTTATTTCATAAAGATGAAGCTCAAATTAAGATTTGTCAATATTGTAAGTTCAAATAAGCATTAGTTATGAAGATATTACCCAATATAACATTTCATGTAAATAAAGGGAGGTAATTAGAAATTTATTTTCCATAAATTTTAAGTCAAATTTTCCAATAAGAAAAGAATGCATGTAATTTATTGATTAAATATAATGTGAACAAATATTTGCATTACACATTTTACATATCCTTTGATGTTTGAAAATTGTTTTATTTGCATAATTATTTACATATATAACTTTTGCAAGTGTAGTATTCACACAGTGGGGGGCCTCCGTGGCCGAGTGGTTAAAGTCGTTGACTTGAGATCACAGGTCCCTCACCACTGTAGGTTCGATTCTCACTCGGATCGAAATCTTTCATGTGAGGAAGCCATCCAGCTGGCTTACGGAAGGTCGGTGGTTCTACCCAGGTGCCCGCTCGTGCCTGAAATAATGCCCGGAGGGGCACCTGGGGTCTTCCTCCACCAATAAAGCTGGAAAAAATCGACGAAAAATCTCGGCGGGACGCTCTAGATGACCCGACTTGAGTGTACGGTCGCCCATATGGGTTTCCGGCGGCGACCTTAAATAAACGCATCAAAAAAAAAAAAAAATATTCACACAGTAATAATAACAATCACAAAGCATACAGGATCTTTAAGGATTTAATTGTATTCGTAATTAAGACAATATTTAACGCATGTTTTGTTAATGTATATTCAGTCTTCTGTCGTCACAGTTAACTGATAATATTAAAAATATTGAAACAAGTCATATCTTGCAAACAAATTTTATAACTGACTGTATACACATGAATGTATGTGCATTTTAGCTCTAGACCTGAATGAAGACAAAAATTCCTTAAAAAAACAAATATTTTTAACATTAAATATTTTCCTAAGAATTCATAGAAAGTTTAACAAAAAGCAAAGAAATAAAATTAACTTACAAACTTCGTTTGTATTTGTTTTTCAATTATCAGATATATTTACCCCACCCCACTTTGAAAAAATATATAAACCTACAGATTATATCTTTACAATAAACACATAGTGTTAATTAAATATCAAATACACTTTTAGAAAGTTAAAGTAACTTTTTGAATTTTGTACAAAGACCTATTAGAAAACCATGTTAGAGAAATATGCAAATATTGGCACTTTTTCTTTAATATTTTTAACGATACTTTTTGGATGAATAGCTTAAAAAGCTTGACTTACATTGTGCTTTACATAAAATTTGATAATTTTTGATATGTTTATACACTTTTTATCGAAATATGCATAATTTGTGATACAAATTATATGACAAAAGAGATATATCAGTTTTGCATAAAATCGGCGGCCATATTGGACGCCATCTTGAATTCTGAAGAGGTATGAACGCTGATTTTGTTCACGATTTGAACTTTTGTAAAGGAGAAACTTAATACATGCTTTGGTGTAAGTTTCAGGTCCGTACAAAAAATTCACTGAATGAGCTAATATGTATGTCAGATTTATATGGCGGCCATTTTGAAAATGGCGGCCATCTTGTATGAGCAGAGATATTTTTTGGCCCACTTCACTTTTGGAATCTCTATAGTCTAAAGATGGTTTCCTG